CTGGTTTTAACTTTTTCTCTGTATCTAGAAGAATTCATAGATCTGTCCATCCCTGATTGGAACCTTAAGAAAATTTTAGAGCAAAAGCTTACTAATTTGCTTAGGCAGCAGCACATTATTGGAAGCAAAGAGGTTCTATTAAGTGGATAACCTTAGGGGATGCTCCCACTAAATTTTTCCATGCTAATGCTTCCATTAAATTCAGGAGAAATCGATCACTACTCTTGAAAATTCGGATGGCCAATCTTTTACTGAGCACAATGCTAAGGCAAACTTGATTTGGGATTCTTTTAAAGAGAGGTTGGGGGTTTCCTCTTTTTAGAGTGTAAATTTTCATTTGCCTACTTTTATACATCCAGTCAATGATCTTTCCTTTTTGGTAAACCCAATTCTTAAAGATGAGATTGACTCGGTGGTTAAGCACCTCCCTTCTGACAAAGCCCTAGGCCTAGATGATTTTAACATAGATTTTTTAAGAGATGTTGGCATATTATTTCCAATGATTTTTATAACTTGTGCTCCTCCTTCTTCAATGGGGATATTTTCCTTCAGAGTTTGAATGGTTCTCACATCACCCTGATCGCTAAGCATGATAATGTAGTAAGCGTTTCAGATTTTAGACCCATCTCTTTACTTAACACATCTATTATGATCCTTACCAAGATTCTAGCCAATAGACTCCAATGTGCTATGCCAAGACTTGTTCACAAAAACCAGCATGGTTTTATTAAAGCTAGATCTATACAAGATTGCTTAGCTTGGTCTTTGGAGTACATGCATCTTTGTCATCAATCAAGAAATGAGATCATCATTTTGAAATTAGACTTTGAGAAAGCCTTTGATAAGGTGGAACATGAGCTTATGATTCAGATTATGCAGAGTAAAGGCTTTCCTGACAGATGGATCACTTGGATGAAGATGATCTTTGGGTCTGGTACCTCAGTTGTTTCTTCTCAATGGGGTGCCTGAAAAGTTTTTCATTATAAACGTGGTGTTAGACAAGGTGATCCACTATCAACCCTCCTTTTTGCCTTGGCAGCTGACTTCCTACAAAGTATTCTCAATACAGCAAAGCACCAAGGTTTACTTACTTTACCAGTTGATTTACCATTTGATCAGGATTTTCCAATTTTGTAGTATGTAGATGATACCTTAATTTTCATGCAAGGTGACACAAGGCAACTTTTCTTTCTCAAGGCTATCCTTAACTCTTTTGCTGAGTCTACTGGTTTGAAAGTTAACTATGCTAAATCCATGATGGTCCCAATTAATATCAGTGAGCACAAGCTTAATCTTTTGGCTAATACTTTTGGTTTTTCCACTGGCTCATTCCCTTTTACATATCTTGGTTTACCCCTAAGTCTCACAAAGCCAACAATGGCTGATTTTTGGCCTCTAGTATCTAAATATGAAAGAAGGTTGGTAATTGTTTCATCTCTTTTGAGCCATGCTGGTAGATTACAGATGACAAATGTAGTCCTTAGTGCTTTGCCTACATATACCATGTGCACCTATCTTTTGCCAAAAACTATGATTAAGCAAATAGATAAATATAGAAAGCACTATTTATGGAGGGGATCTGATATTAACTCCAAAAAACCACCCAAAGCAGCTTGGAAACTTGTCTGCAGTTCCAAAGAAAATGGTGGTTTGGGTGTTCATGATCTGCAGATTCAGAATGAAAGTCTTCTGCTTAAGCATCTGCACAAATGTTTCAACAAATGTGATATCCCTTGGGTTCAGCTGATTTAGAATTCTCATTACAATAATGAAACAATTCCAGTAAACAACAGGAATGGTTCTTTCTGGTGGAGGGATGTCCTTAAACTACTTGATTCTTTCAAGGGGATGGCATCTGTCACAATTGGTGATGGCTCAACTTCCCTTTTTTGGTCAGATATTTGGCATGGTGTTCCTTTCAATGTTCAGTGGCCTCATTTGTTTTCCTTTGCTAAAGATGCTAATACTTCTGTAACAAAATTTCCTAAATGCTGATGATAAATCTGAGTTTTTTCATGTCCCTCTATCCATTGAAGCTCATGATCAATACCAGCAGATGATTACTGAATTACAAAATATTTAGCCTAGTCACAACAAAGATGTATGGAATTATATTTGGGGATCATCTCTGTTTACATTAAACAAAGCTTACACTCATCTTTTGGATTCTATACTAGTTTCACCTATATACAAATGGCTATGGAATTCGAATTGTCTTTCAAAAAGGAAAGTTTTCTTCTGGCTTGCTTTGAAAGATAGACTTAGTACCAGAGAACTTCTAAAAAGAAAACAAATGGAGCTACAGAGCTACAATTGTATGCTTTGCCACCAAGATGTTGAGGAGTCCCTTCATCATCTCTTCATGGATTGTCCTTTTGCTATGACTTGTTGAAATCTGCTAGGCCTAGCATATCTCATTCAGGGAATCATGCTTGACTCGGTTCCTCTCTTCAGGGCTCAAATCAACAGGCCTTTCTTCATGGAAGTAATTGTTGCAATGTTCTGGGCCATCTGATCTGCTCGTAATGATGTCATCTTCAGAAATCTTCATCATTATGTACAAAGATGCAAGATGATTTTCAAACAGAAATTAGTCTGGGTTAAGCTCAGATCTAAAAGGGATATAGGTACTTAGTTACAATTATGGCTAGACAATTTTGTGTAATCTTGTTCATTTTCTTTGTCTCATTTTATGTTTCTTGATTTGTATTTACATGATTTGTATATTTAAATTTTAATAAAATCCAATAGGGGGCAACCCCTCCTGTTTCTCTAAAAAAATACTTGTGACGGTGGATTGATCTGATCATGCAGTGAACGTGAACCAATCCCAATCAACTACTGCGCGATGTGAGCTCGTGTGCTCTTGCCCTCTAGAGATCTAGGGCTAAAGTTTAGTCCGTTTCACATTGGACATTCAAATGGTAACTACGATGACTAAATATGAGCTAATTATAAAACTAATTGCATAAAAGAAGACTAATTAGCGAAATGAATCTATTAAACTTAACTAATTTATGGTTAGCACATGTTTACTGTAGCACCAAATTGTCAAATTATGAACTAATTAGGCTTAATAGATTCGTCTCTTAAATTGGCCTCTATCTGTAATCTGTTCTTTAATTAGTTTATATTTAATACTACTAATTAGCATCTAAATATCGGATGTGGTGGGACTAAAGTTTAGTCCCCTGTTTCGATTATTTTTTCCATACTAAGTCAAACACTCTCTCCGATGCGTCATCATCAAATCTTTAGACACATGGCGTCTCGAGTGTAGATAGAAAAAATAAGGCCCGTTTGTTTGTTCCGATTTATAAGCGGCTTGTTTTGAGCCTGGTTAAATAAGCGAGAATCTCGTCAAACACTTTGTTTATTTTCACCGATTCTCGCTTATGTGGTAAGTCGTTTCAGAGATTTGAACTACGAGAAACGAAAAACGAGAAGCGAGAAAATCTTCGCTTAGATTATAATGAAGTGTGGCCAGGAGAAGTAGAAACAAACGGGCCCTAGGACGGACAACGGCTTTCCATTCAAGGGAGCGTGCGCTGTGCGCAAGAGCGATGGCAATTTGTTCCCGCCGCTACAGTCGTCGCCCTTCTCGGTTAAAGCCTTCTTGCCGGGCGAGTCGCACGGCGGCGTATGGCCTCATGGCCTCGTCAAGGACACCAACACCGGTCACCGAGACCGAATAGTAGGTTTGATTGTAAACTCTGGCAAACTGACGTCACCGGTGAGCACTCGCTCACAGTGACTCACGCAAGAACAAGAACAGAGCATAAACAATTCTTTTGGTGCTGCCCAGTGGCGGAGGCAGAAATTGTGCGTAAGGGGCCGGTCGAACAATTTAAAAATATGAGAACTGAGTGTAGCTTATTTGTTCAGATTTTTGTATCGGGGTAGGCTCCTATTTTTCTTGATTTATGTCTTGTTTAGATTGGGGTTAGTAATCAGTATTTAGCACTGTAGCACTTTCGTTTGTATTTGATAATTATTGTCCAATTATAGCCTAACTAGGCTCAAAAGATTCGTCTCATAATTTACAATCAAACTGTGTAATTAATTATTTTTTTATCTACATTTAATATTCCATGCATGTGTCCAAAGATTTGATGTGATGGAGAGAGTGAAAAAACTTGCAATCTAAACAATGCCTTATTATAGTATTTGACGATTTAATCATGCTCGTTATTCTTCACGTAGTAGACGACCATGTATATCGACAGTGGGGCGTATGTGATAACTCATGGATATTGAAATCTACATGTTTATTATTTCGAAGTGCTCATACCTGTGATAGGTGACCGCGTGTATTGATAACGGGGCACATAAGATTACTTATGTATCTTAAAATCTACCAGCTTAGTATTTCAAAAGTGCTCATAGTGGTGTAGGACGTGTGTTTGATCATAGGAGTGTGTGTACGTGCATGTACATGAGCGTCTACATTTATACTGTGGTTCACAGTAAAAAGGAATGGTCACCGAATTGTTATTGCTAGTTAAATACACGTTCAATAAAATATTAAGTATAATGAAACATAAGTATTTTAATAAACCAAAAATTTAATAGATATATCCTAATATGGTAGGCAAACAAATTTAGATAAATCAAAATATTTTATTTTATTTATATTATGTGTGATTTTGTTGTCTAAAAGATATCAATAAACATTACAACAAGATTTTCTTTCTTTTAATATGAACATAGACTATTTACTATATATATTATATATAAAAAATTTCTATTGTTAGGGGGCAATGGCCCCCCGCTGGGCCCCCCTTGGCTCCGCCAGTGGTGCTGCCAAATGACATCATCCTTTCCACGTCCAGCGTCCAACACACCGCACAAACTCTAGTAGAAACTAGAGACGGAGATTTGGGGGCAACAAGCTGCAGCAGCATCTCCATCCTCGCCCACCTCCGCCTGCTGAGGGAGGAGGAGGAGGAGCGCCCACCGGCCGGATCCACAGCCGGTAAGAAAGCAAGCATCCTCCACCCATGGCGGATGTGCATGAACCTTTGGTGCGCCGCAAGAGGAAGAAGGTTTTGGTGGACTACTTGGTGCAGTTCCGATGGATCCTTGTGATCTTCGTGGTCCTTCCTATTTCATCTCTGATCTACTTCAATATCTTTCTGGGCGACATGTGGTCGGCCATGAAGTCAGAGAAGAAGCGCCAGAAGCAATCTGATGAGAATGTGCAGAAGGTTGTGAAGCGGCTCAAGCAGAGGAACCCAAAGAAGGATGGTCTTGTTTGCACAGCCAGGAAGCCCTGGATTGCTGTTGGTATGCGCAATGTTCCGAAATCTAAAAAGTAGAAACTAGAGACTAGACGCGCATGAACCTGCATGCGTGAGCACCACAAACGTGCACACCCGCACCTAGGCAGAACTGGAACATAAAATAAACACGCAGCTTAACGGCTCCTACGTTCAGGACACACCGCACAAACATGCACACCCAGAGCACCCAGGCATGCTTATTGGACATAAGGGTACAGACACGTACAAGGTTACAGGCAACACAATACAATTGGACGTGGTACCCGATTCAGTTGACAGGTCCCAGTGGCGGTTGATGCGCGGGGGCGATAGGGGCCGCTTGCCCGGTTGGCCCTCCATCACCACCTGGGTCCGCCTGGCATATAGTCACTACCAGGTCCACATGATGGCGTTCGCTCCCCCCTTCCCTCCTGGCCCGCCGGCGCCGCTGGGATGGGTGTAAATCGCTCGACCGCCATCGCTGCCTCTACCCCCATGCCCGCCACGATGTCCTGTGGCACCACTGGCGCCTCGGCCACCTCGGCCCTCCTGCTGCTGCAGGCCCCCCTCAGCCCCCATGGGAGCCGGGAGCCGCCTGTGGTGGATCCTGACGCGCTGATCCGCCATCGGTGGATAGCAGACGAATGTGAGACTATACGAGTGCGAAGAGTTGTGGAGTAGATGAATCGGAGGGGAGGGCGAAAAGTTGTGGAGCAGGTGAATCGGAGGGGAGCGCTCCATCCTGCTGTTTTATAGGCATGAGCGGCAGAGGTCTTGTGGCGCTAGGCGGGCCCCCACGCGCGCGTCCAAGATGAATAGGCCAGAGGTTAGTAGCATGCCATCATGGCGTGGTTTAGTACAGTGTTATACAGTAAATAATGGAAGGCGGTTTTTTTGCCCTTAAGGGCATGTGCCACCAGCACATCCACCATTGGATTCACATTGAAAAATATGCACACACATCTCAATGCAGATTCGCATTGAGAAGTGTGTCCAACAGCGCAGCGTGTAGGGACACATGCCCTTAAGGGCACATTTAACTTTTTTTTTGAATAATCCACCTCTTGTGTGGCCGTCCGGTCCCTACTAGCAACGGGCTTCACCTGGAAGTTTGGGCCTTTAGGGTGGATTATTAGCAGCGCCCCCTGCCGATGGGCAGGCAGGGCCACACACGCTTTGGACCGACACACTAGGCCACACAACATGGCCCAAGGAAAGGCGTGGGGATCTGGGCTCTGGGCTGTTTGTTCGAGCCTACACTGGCATCATCGATTCGTCGACATCGCGACGCGAGGCGTCGCTCCGGGCTCCAGCGGAGCAACCGAGCAACAAGCGAACGATGCTCTGCAAAACGTCGACGTCAAGCATGCGGGACGCCACGCCGGACCGGCGGAGCCGCATCATGAGCTCAACTTGTCTGTCCACCGATGGTCGGTGGGGCGACGGCGACGCGGGAGGGGAGCGCATACAGACATGCTGACAGCTAGCAGAGCTTGGCCGCTTGGCTTCACTGCTCGTCTCGTTTGGGAGCCACATTGACAGACCGATTTTTTTCCCAATTAGAAAAATCGTCAATCCCCTTGTTTTCTTTTTGCAACACACTGACAAAATGACAACCCATCAGTCTCAGTGTTTCACCTCGCACTCGGCTGCTCGGAGTTCCAATAATTAGGCACACCTGATCGGGTTCCTTGTCGATGGACATCACACTGTCACTTGGTCAGTTCATCACCAACTCCGATCCTGCCAATTTGATACCCAGCTTGCAGCTGCAAGACTAATTTCCGCTCCGTGCTCGCAACAGCAGGTTCGGGAAACGAACAGCACGTTTGGTTCACAGAATGTCACGGTCAGGAATCATCCGATCCTGTGTCCGAACCTAAAATGTTGTTTGGTTTGGCGAAGAGAACCAACCTGTCCGTCACGAGATGGTAGCCTCCGCTAGTATATCCACGGCACCTACTCGTCTGTCTGGAAATCGTCGGATCAATCCATGCCTGACGTGCGGATGCCGGACGGGGTCGGTCCCTAAACCAAACAGCCTGGAAGTTCTCCACGCCAGGTTTTATTTCGTCCTTGATGACGGTGTTACAGAATGTCAAATTATGGGCGTTGTGACAAACTGGTGATGCGTACGGTGGATTCATCTGATCATGCAGTGAACGTGATCCCATCCCAATCAACGAACAACTGCGCGATGTGAGCTCGTGTGGTCTTGCCCTCTGATTCTCTGAATCTCAAAGATGCCTCCGTCTCCACCGGAATAAACCCGACTTTGAATGGCCATCAAGTACAATTCACCTACTACCATGTAGCATATGAGATATGACGAGCATATTCTCGTGATGCCAGTGCCACTCCCCGTAGTCCAGATATCGACATCACTGAAAATAAATCGCCTCATTTATTAGTTTCTAGCACAATAATGCTGATGAATGTTCCAAAGCCTGTCGTAACGTAATCACTCAATCATGGCTCCATACAAGTAGAACTTTGTCGACCACTATCACTTGATAGTTAGTAGTACTACTGCAGAATTTCTATATCCATTGGAAAAAAGCGACTTATGCCATTGTGGCTTATGGCGAGCTGCGTGCTGGCAACATCCCTGAGTGGCTAAATCGGTTGCAAATTTCCGGAACTCCGGGTATCAAGCAAAGTTATTAACATCCAGTATGGAATTAAAATTGAAATATTCTCAAACCACCTAAACACTTTTGTTAGACCTTTTTGCAAGGCTTTTTGCTAGCTGACGAGTAGGATTCAACTTGTTTATGGAAGCTTTGCGACAATATTGCCTTCTAAAGTTCAAAACAAATTCAGGGCTGTTTACCTATACCTGATGTTGCATTTGGTTTACTCACTTTTATATTGTTTTATGTTATTATACCTAATAATGAACAGAGAAAAAAAACAGGGATTATGTTGTCTGCCACTATCTAAACTCCCAAGGTACGGTGGTTCACTAACTTTGACGAATATTCAGTGGGTATTCAGAGAGTACAGACATCACATTTGTTTAACAAGTATTTATTGACATCCTCTTAACAAGTATTTAGCGCTGCCATTGGTTAGATAGTTCTATTCATTCCAAGAGATACGTATATCTATGAATTATACTAAACTCAACTTCTACAATAGCTATAACTTATCTTCAGGCTTTCATTACTATTATTAGCGTAGGTGTGACATGCATGGTCAGATCAGGTAATCAACTGAACACGCCACACTTTGTTAAAGTTAGACATAGCAAGGTTTGTTACCAACCAAAGAGGCTAAACTTTAAACTGTGATCTCGTAAGTCTAATCTTTTTCAGACCAGCGAGCAACCAGATTCGAGTACACGATTGCACAAGAGCCCTTTGCCCTGGCTATAACTTATGACAATCTTATGGCCAAAATCGTCATATCCTCCCCACACTACCCACATATAAATCAGAATATACAAGCATTATAACCACACTACATCCTATAATGACAGTTGCAATTCCAATCCTGCCCTCCTCCTCCTCCCCTCGGCGACGCTGTCAGGTCGCCGTCCCACAGCCTGACGATGCTGCCGTCGAGCGCCGCCATGTCGATGTGGCGATACCAACCCAGGTCGCTCCTCCGCCTCACCGCCAACTCCCTCTCTTCCCACGGGGCCGTGGCCGCCAAGGTCGTCGCTCTTCTTCTCCCGGCCGGCTCTGACACCGTCCTTCTGAGAACCACCTCCACCTCGCCGTCGTCGTCGTCATCCGCGTCCGCGCATTTCCTGACGCCGTCCACTACTCCGTCGTCGTCGTATCCTGAGCCGCCGTAGTACGCAGTGAACCGGACCTTGGACGGCGTGCTCGGCTCGCTCACGGACGACGGCTCGGCAGCCGGAGCGAGAGCGACCGGCGGCCGAGGCTCGTCGATAATGGCAGCCCGAGACGGCGGCAGAGGCGCCTGTGGCTCCTGATTATCGTCGTCGACGTGGGCGCTGGGCTTGGAGTTGGAAGCGCCGCTGACGGCGCGGATGCGCCAGAGGCCGACCGAGGCGGCGAGGGCGGCGACGAGCCAGGCGCAGAGCGAGCCGGCCGCTGCGGGGAGGGAGTAGAGGCTGAGCGCAATGGCCTCCGCGGGCACCATGCCGAGGAGCTCCATTCGTGGCTTGGTGGTGGCGGGGGGGGTGCTGTCACGGCGGTTGGTGGGAGGTGGGGGATGGTGTTGGTGTGCGGTGAGGAATGGAGAAGATGGGCTCGGGTGGGAAGCTTATATATAGGTGACGGAGTGGGAACGGATATGCACTCGTGAACTGCCTGGAATTATTGCATGTTTCACCTGCACAATCGAGCATTTTGCAATTTTGTGTTTGGGTGCAGTATAAGCTGCATTTTGCAATTATTCAGCTTCTATTTTTTAGGTGAACCATTTAGTTCCAAGTCTATATGATTGAGTCTTTTGTGGAGTTGAGCTAGTGCACCTATTCCATTCATCTTTAATTTGTACAGTATATTGGAACAGAGGTGTCGGGTATCGGTATTAGGGATACCCGACAAAGAGATCTGATGACTGCGGACGACAAACTCACCAAGATAATCGAGGATGCATTTTAGTCTCAACCGATGAATTTCGGGCCCAACGCCACCCCTCGACTCGGGGCCGGGTCGCCAGAGGGTTCCGCCGCCTTGCCGACCCTCGGGCATGGGCTCCGTCTCGCCCGACCCTGAGGGCATGGGCCCCGTGTCGCCCGACCCCGAGGGTACAGGAGCCGTCTCGTCCGACGGGGACCCATACCGCTTCCAACTACTACGGGTCTAAAGGTACGACCCCGGGGTCAAACTTCTGATACCGGGAGAGAAGCGGCGGATCGCGTTCGACGTGACCTGCGTGGCCCGTCAGCGACGCTTCGGGGTTCGCGATCGCCAATGATGGCGGTGTGCGTGGTCGTTGTCTTGCTTAATCCTCGTATGGCCGTTGCTGAGCAGCACGTCGGTTCACCACGCCGTCCACCGGAATGGGATGGGATGCCACGACCGGCTGATGACGTCGGGGTATGGCACCAGTGGTGAACAGGAGCCCGACGTGGAGCTATCCCCGTCACCATCTACAGCGTCGCGCGGGACCCACATGAAGAAAAAGAAGGACACGACGGTCCTGGAGGCCTTCTTCTCCCTCGCTTTTTCCCTTTCCTCTCTTTCTCTCTCCCAGTAACCTACGCTTTCCCCTTCACCTATAAAAGTAAAAGCAGGACGTCCCATGATAGGAGGGCACACGGCTGGACAAGCTCAACAAGACTCAACTCCGTTCGATCCTTTCACCAGAGACTTGGGACCTTCTCCCTCTCTCGCCCGTTTATAACCCCTACTACAAACTAGTGCCGGTAACACGAGCAGCAGCAGACTGGACGTAGGGATATTCCGTCCGAACCAGTATAAATTCTTGTGTCCTCCGAGCACACCATCCGAACCAGACGCGCAGATACAAATTTACTAGCCGGTGATCCGAAACACCGACAAGAGACAGAGACGCAGAGTATCGCTCAGACTGTAATACCTATTTCCTCAATTGAAATTGAACAGGCGTCGAGGCACTCGCATGTAAAAAGACAAGCTGCGGTTAGTTTGCTGCCAAACGGCGTAACAGTGCTGGCAACAACGGCATCAGTTGGGATCTAACCAGGAGATGCTGGTTCTCAGAATTGAGATACCATTTCTCCGGCTGGGAATGGCCGAATGGGAAGAAATGCGGGGGCGCCGCCGCCAGCGTGAGCGCGCCCTTGTCCACTCGTGGTGGGCGTGGGTGGGGACGCGTGGGCGCCACCGATTGGATCTCGTGGGCCTGATCTACTTCGTGGCTTGGATTAGACCTGGCCGTGCCTGATATCCTGATGTGTGGCGCTGGTGGTACGTGTGGCTTATGACCACGGAGATGGAGACGTTAATCTGCCGGGCTGCATTTCAGTTTTCGCGCCGTGTAGAATCATACGAGATCATTACGTACTCCGTAAATGGTACTACCGTAAGAAGAAGAAAAAAACTTGGTGGTGACCAAGATTTACATCGATCGGAATTACCAGCTCTTGAGCAAGTGCAAGTCCAGAGGGGTCCCCGTCCCCTTGCAGTGCAGTGGAGTGCAGTTTATTTGCGGCAGAGAAGGATCAGACGGAGACGGGACAGAAAAATCCCAGTTGTTGTCCCAGGCGCACGGCAGAATGATGCACGTCCGAATCTGCGGCAGAGAGACAACTCTGCGCCGGCCAGCGATGGGCGATGGCCCCGTACGCCGCAGCCTGGGCCTTAATTTAGTTTTAAAAAGTTTTCCCAAAAAGTGTTACGGTAGGTATCACATCGAATCTTACGATACGTGTATGGAGCATTAAATGTAGACGAAAAAAACTAATTGCACAGTTTGGTTAGAAATCGCGAGATGAACGTTTTGAATCTAATTAATCCATGATTGAACACTAATTGTCAAATAAAAACGAAAATTTACGGTAGCTAAATTACCAAATTTTACCAAACTAAACACAGACCTGTACGGGATTCATTTGATCCGCAGACAGAGAGGGATTCATTTGATCCGCAGACAGAGACAGGCGCAGCGCCGCATGTGTCAGAACCGGCCGTTGCGCGCGCGGTAGGGGCGTGCTGGCCTGCTGCTGGATCGACGCTCGCACGGCGGGCGGCGCCGCGCGGGTGTATCCTCTCTTCGGCTTCGGCTTCGGCTTCAGCTGCGAAACGCCGAGCCTCGCGTGGGCGGTGGGCGACGTCTCCTGACCTCGCTTTTATGCCCCCGTCATGCTGCGAGACTCTTGTTTTCATTCTTGTTTCATCAGTCTTTGATGAGCGTCGAGAGTGCCTACTTATCCAAATCGTAGCTTAGGAGAACTGCCAAATCGTTTCGATAGCCATGTTTAGGAGGTAGGCTTCTCGTATCTTAGACTTAGAGCTATCCAAGCGTTTCTTTTCTTGAAGCGTGTCGTGAATATCTGGCAACCTGGCCTATTGACTCCCAGAGGATGCACGGCACAGTTTTTCAGGTTCTCCCGATCCTCTGACCTATAGCCTCTACCATTTTCAGAAGTGCAACGACGCATGTGCCACAAGGGGATTTTCATGTCAATCTTTGGCACGTTTGCTTGCCGGTGTTTTCTTTTGGCAGCCGAGGTTAGTATGATGAGTTGATCACAAAGCAGTCTCTAAATATCAGCGTCGGCCTTCACGTCACGGTCATCGCGACGTACATGCGAGTGTGTGGCTCGTCTTACATCTTTCTTAAATGCACAATAGATACATGCAATAGCCACTTATTTACTTTAAGTCAACCTTTTGTCGATTTACCATACGAAATTAATCATTTGTTACACTACCATTTATTATGAATATTGTAATTTATTTGATTTAAAGTTAGGCCAAGTCTAATTAAATCCAACAAAAGTAGCTAAGTATCGCGCAACAAATTGTAAACTATGTTGAAATATGCGGACAAGTATGCTAGTTCTTAATGATAATAACATTAAACAAAAATTGGAATTATTCCATGCATTAATCTTAGCTTAATCCTTGACATGTGGAACCCGTCTAAAGAAAATTGGAGAAGACAACTTTAGTCTGCTTCCTTTCCCAACCTATTCCGCCTCCATAGAGGATGAGCATTCGGGTAACCTAAAAATTTTGAATCGGGTAATTTGGCTATTAGGAATTGCTACCCATGTTGGCCTCGAAAAAGTATTACCCAGAACTTCGGGTACCCGATATACTCGGAATTGACAAAACCAAAATTTTGATAGAATTCTAGTATCATTTTAAAGCAATAAACAACAATCCTTCAAATCGCTTCATGTCTTCATATAAATTAATAACAGATTAATTGTCAAGCTAGCATAAATATGCATTGAACCATACCAAATAACAGACTTACACTGTGTTGAACCACCTCGTATCTTTATATTAGGAATAGAAGATCAAATGTTTGATATTCCGGGTAATTCGGATACCGGGAACATTACCTGAACTAAATTCGGGATTTTAAAGTTACTATCCGAAATTATGATCACATATTTTAGTCCGGGTACTTGGGGTCTAAGTTCAAGAAATTCACATTTGATGATTGGGTATCGTATATTTTTATGGGGATGAAATGACGAGGACCTGTTTGCAATGTTAGGATAACAGAGATGAAGCAAATGACTGACCAACGCGAGATCTAGCTACTTACGACCAGGCAAACACTCACCAAAGCCAAGCCGTCTCATGCACCGATGACACCACACTCGTCAATGTTGCCGTGCCTATTTCATCACTATCACACATGGATCTAGAAGTGCAATGAAGTCATCGCGGCTAAGGGCACCGTCGGGATCCCCTTAAGGGCATATTCGTTTGATTCCAAAATCGAGGGGATTGGGGGGAATTAAATCCCCTGCAGATCAAAATCCTCATTAACCCCTTCCAATCTGGTCGGTTTGGAGATAAACCAAACAAGTCAAAGGAGTCACGCACGCTGTGGCGAGAGGATCCACAACTACACCACCAGTTCGACCTGTAAGTGATGTATGCCTTTATTTAGTGAAAAAATTGGGTGGGGAAGTGCATGCCCATATGCAAGCATTCAAAGCATAGGGTTATTATGCAAATTTAGTATAAGCATAAATTTTTTAGGATCACAGTTTTTTTAGGTGTTGGATTGTTACCTACAGCGGAATATCATATCCTACGATGTCTCCGTCAGTACCCATTTTTTCCCCCACATTCATGATATCCTTCTCTCTCACACAACGGTTGAAAGATTGGGGGAAGGAAGAGAAAGTGAACTAGGGTTTTCAGGGGCAGGATCACCGATGCAATTTTGGTTCGCTGCATAATAATGATGAAGTCAGTTAGATAAAGATAAACGCGGTGAGATTGTCCAGTTTTTTTTTATTGTCCAGTTGCTAGCTGGACAGCAGATTGACCCAGCCCGACATTAGATGTACTGTACTCCACTGTACAGCCCAGCCCAGCTTGTCAGAATCTCAGCCCGTCCGTGCTGGGATGCATCCCTCGATGCCTCAAGAACCGCAGGAAGTGTGCTGGGCCAAGCAATGAAGTGATCCTACAATTAGTGTTCGGGTATTCTCAAAAAAAAAAAAAAAAAAGTGTTCAGGTTTTGTCGCTGGTCGG